TTCTTAATTAAAACTATATTATTCTTTCTCCTTACAAACTTTGTAATATACAGAATTTCCACAATCACTTTAAACTTAACAACCTTTATAACACACGCTGTAAATCACACTGATTCACACACTTTACTTTTGGTGCCTACTGTTCGCTTGACTCAATTATCTCAATTTTCAATCTATCTGCCTATCTCTGCTATTCTATCTTTTCGCTGGCTTTATTTGCCGGGCTTATATACTAAAAAAGAGGGCACGTGGAACGAACTAGAGTTGCCAGGAAAATTCATGATCCTTCTAGAAACTCCAGCGTTGCGTGACTTCCGCTGTCATAACAAAACAATAATTTTAACTGCTAATCTCATTGATGACATCGCGTTTCTTAACAAAAATGATGCAGTGCAAATGCCCCCAGTGGCACAGCGGCATGTCTGCGGACTTACAACGCTAGAATTCGGGTTTCGATACCTGTGGTGGGCAGAGCACAGATAGCCCATTGTGTAGCTTTGTGCTTAGCTACAAATAAAGCAATGGAAATAGAAGATTTTCTTAAAATTAAACATTCCGAGATTCCAGAAAATATTCCACGTGATGCTGAAAATCACAGTTTTCCATATCGTCTCATAAAAAATAATTATCGAATGGAGAAACGTCAAAAAGAGATTTGTTGTGTTGAAACAAAACAAAAGTCATTGTTTTGTGTTCCATGTTTTCTAAAGTAGTGCAGAATCAGATAGATCAGTTCTCGGGAGTCCATCAGGTTATGATATTGAAAGACCGCACACCGACTCATGAAAATTCAGTTATACATAAAGATAAGTATGTTAATTGGAAGTTGGCAAGTAAATCTGCGTCATCAAAGTCTTTAGTAGGATCTGTACTTTTGAAAGGGCTAACAGCTGAAGCCAATAATTGGGAAAAACTTCTGGAGCGAATTCTGGAAATCATACTTAAGTGAGCTAGGTTTAGCATATTGGAGATCCTCAGAGTGGAAATTTTCTTGGAATCACAGAATTACTTACTAAGTCCGATCCAGTTTTATACGATCATGTGAAAAGAGTTCGAGAATCACAGGAAAATCACAAATATCTCCAAGCTCATTACCTTTCCTCATTTATCGAAAATGAATTTATCGAACTTTGTGGATCATTTATTCAAAAAAGAATTATTGAAGAAATCCGAAATTCCAAACATTGTTTCCATCATGTGGATGCAACTCCATATTGTTCACACAAAGAACAAACGTATCTCGTCATCGGTGTGTGAAAATAATTGATAATTCCAATTTTTCGATTGAGGAACGATTCATAAAGTTTGATTCTTTCACACAAAAGAAAGGAAAGAAAATCGCTTTACGAATTCTAGTATTTCTAAAACATTTTTGAACTTGATTTCAATTTATGTATTGGGCAAACATATGATAATGG